GGGAGAGGTCATACCCTGTAGCTTGTCAACAGTAGTTAGTTACATTGGGAGAGGTCATACCCTGTAGCTTGTCAACAGTAGTTACATATATCACTCAAGTAATTTCATTCCCTGATATGATGAATCATGTTGTCTGTCTGTCTGTAGACAAAACGTTATTTGCACTACTCTTCCTGAAGTTTTGCACCAATATGAATTATACTTGGTACACAGAATTCTTGCATGGAGGGGATGTGAATGAAGTACAAAGATTAGAGTTACCTCCCTCATTTACTAGAGTTCATTGCCCATTGTTTAAAAATATTTCTGAAAGAACCTTTCCTACAGATGTTGGCGCAGGTGGGGGGTAATAGCCTGCCGTTCTAGCGACAGCTGTAGTTTGCTGTTAGCAACAGGCTCAACTCACCTGCCCGAAGAGCTAGGCGCCTATCGTCCGTCCGTCCGTTCGTCCATCAACTTTTCCTTTAAATGACTTCTTCTGAAGAATGGACTTGCCTAAAGTCATGATATTTTGGTGATAGCTTTGTTGGTTAGAGCATAGTTAGAACGAAAATGACCTTTACCTACTTTCAAGGTCAGGGGTCAAAAGTGTGAAATACTTGAAACAACTTCTTCTGAAGAACTGAAAGGTATAGAATCTTAATATGTGGCTGGTAGCTTCGTTGTTAAAAGCCCAACAGATTTGAGAATGAAAATGACCTTGAACTCCTTTAAAGGTCACAGGGGTCAAATATGTCAAATACTTAAAATGACTTCTGAAGAACTGAAATATATAGAATATTAATATGTGGCTGGTAGCTTCTTTGGGAAGAGCCCATCAGAGTTTGAGAACGAAAATGACCTTGACCTACTGTCAAGGTCACAGGGGTAAAATTTGTCGAACTAATCAAACAAATTTTTCTGAATTATCGAAATGCATAGAATCATATTATTTGGCTGGTTGCATCTTGTGATGGAGCCCGCCAAAGTTGGCTATTGAAATTACCTCAACCTACTTTCAAGGTCACAGGGGTCAAATATAGCAAAAACTGCTTCTCTTGAAGAAGTTTAAGGCATGGAGTCTTGATATTTGACAAGTAGCTTTCTTAGATGGAGCCCAACAAAGTTTGCAAATAAATAATGACCCTTGGCTACTTTATCCTATTGCTTTATATTAATCTAATTTCATGTAGAATATACTTGGCCCAACATGATTCAATATTGTAAAAACCATGCCCCAATCACAATGGGGACAGGAGAATGGGACCCAATATTGTAAGGGTGTTGCTGAGACAGTATAATTATTTAATATTTTGCTTTGACTGCTTAGATATCCAGGTGAGCGATATATATAGGCCCTCTGGGCCTCTTGTTTCCTTAATCATTACATTGTTATTATTATATCAAACTAACCTCTCTGTGTCACACTATTGATCTTGATGTCATTACGTTTCTGTTTCATTGTATCAACCTTATAATTATCATGTCATAATATAAATAACTTTGTCATGAATTGACCTCACCAAATCATAATGTTGACCTCTTTATATATTATTTAACTGTATGATAATGATGTATCACTTCAGTGTATAACATAATATTAATGTTATATACAGATTTATTCTGACAATATACATGAACTATGTACAGGATTAACAATCCTTTGATAGTCAGCTCGTAGTATACTAAATTATCATTTTAAAGTTCACAGCTTGATTCTTTCTTTGAAACAATACTTGTGTATTATGTAGAAAAATGTAATGTTGACCTCATATCAAAGTACATGTATTCACCTTTAATATTGACATGTTGTTCCCAGTTGATTTTTAAAATCTGTTCCTAAAGCACTGCTTGGATGGTTGGGCAGCCAGATTAGCTGTGGCTTGTTTAGTGGGTTAACTGGATTATTGGTGGCTGGCCATGGTCTGTTATCACATTGACATCTCAAAATGAGAAAAATGCCCAGTTCATGTGGTACAGTAAGATTTGCCAGTTCATGTTGTACAGTAAGATTTGCCCAGTTCATGTGGTACAGTAAGATTTGCCAGTTCATGGGGTACAGGAAGGTTTGCCCAGTTCATGTGGTACAGTAAGATTCGCCCCGTTCATGTGGTACAGTAAGATTTGCCAGTTCATGGGGTACAGGAAGGTTTGCCCAGTTCATGTGGTACAGTAAGATTCGCCCAGTTCATGTGGTACAGTAAGATTCGCCCAGTTCATGTGGTACAGTAAGATTCGCCCAGTTCATGTGGTACAGTAAGATTCGCCCAGTTCATGTGGTACAGTAAGATTTGTCAGTTCATGTGGTACAGTAAGATTAGCCCATTTCATGTGGTACAGTAAGATTTGCCCAGTTCATGTGGTACAGTAAGATTCGCCCAGTTCATGTGGTACAGTAAGATTTGCCAGTTCATGTGGTACAGTAAGATTAGCCCAGTTCATGTGGTACAGTAAGATTTGCCCAGTTCATGTGGTACAGTAAGATTTGCCCAATTCATGAGGTACAGTTAGATATGCCCAGTTCATGTGGTACAGTAAGATGTGCCCAATTCATGTGGTACAGTAAGTTTTGCCCACTTCATGTGGTACAGTAAGATTTGCCGAGTTCATGTGGTACAGTAAGATTTGTCAGTTCATGTGGTACAGTAAGATTAGCCCATTTCATGTGGTACAGTAAGATTTGCCCAATTCATGTGGTACAGTTAGATATGCCCAGTTCATGTGGTACAGTAAGATTGTAAGATTTGCCCAGTTCATGTGGTACAGCAAGATTTGCTTGTTTTACAGGTCGTCCACACCTTTGTCGTCTTCATCCAATAAAACACAAGCCGCCGCCGCCGCTGCTGCTACTGCTGCTGCTGCTGTTGCTGCTGCTGCCAAAGCTGCAGATAATTTACCAAAGCAGTCGGGCCCAGTGAATGGCGATGAGTGTTATTTCTGGCGTACAACGGGTTGTGTTTACGGGGATAAGTGTCGGAATAAACATGTAGCAGATCATCGTGGCCTGGACAAGAAACCATGGCAAAAATCCTAATGTGAACCTTCAATAGATGTGTTAACCGTCATGCAGACTTTTCTGTCAAAACTCTTACCATAGACATTTGTGTGTGTGTATGTGTGGAAGGATGTGTTTGTGATATGAGTAGGTGGGGGTGGGGGTATTCTGGCATAGAATGATCACAGTGTACTTCTCTCATTCTGCAGTATAAGCCATGTCATACTGCATGATCAGCCCAACATAGGAACCTCTCCACACATCCCAATAACACACATTCCTTGTAGACAGATTTACTGTAACATGAGCAGTGGTGTTATATCCAGATTTAACTTAAAAGTTAAAACTACTACTTGCTTAATGTTTTTTTCTGGAGATGAAACGATGTATTCCGGCTCTGCTGGTCAGGGCCAAATTATGTTGACCCAATCCAAAATAAGAAACATCTTACTCAGATTCCATACATTTTATTTTCTCTTCATTCAAGATTCAAATTCACTATAATTGAAAGCTATATGAAAATACAACAAAATGAAGTTTGAAAGTAGTAAAGCATTTAAGTAAAAATACAGTGTACTGAAAAATTGAGAAAGGTGCTTTCAAGTGTCATTTGTTGTTTCCCATCAAGTTGTACACCGATGGTGTTACACCCTACACTTGTTGTTTCCCATCAAGTTGTGCACCGATGGTGTTACACCCTTCATTTGTTGTTTCCCATCAAGTTGTACACCGATGGGGTTACACCCTACATTTGTTGTTGCCCATCAAGTTGTACACCGATGGTGTTACCCCCTTCATTTGTTGTTTCCCATCAAGGTGTACACCGATGGTGTTACACCCTACCTTTGTTGTTTCCCATCAAGTTGAACACCGATGGTGTTACACCCTCCATTTGTTGTTTCCCATCAAGTTGTACACCGATGGTGTTACACCCTACATTTGTCATATTGTTAGGCTTGCCAACTGTCACATGGATTACTTTCATTTTATTTCCTGTATGAGATATGCAATAATTTTCATTATGTTCACCTCAGAAGATNACATGTATAATATTATTATAAGATTGGGGGTAGAATTCCCCAAGAATTAAATGCCAAAATTAAACTATATGTTTTAAAATTAAGAGTGAGTAGCCCAAACAATTAAAACAAAATCAGGAGACCAACTGAGATGACATTCATATGACAGTTTAAGGGTATAGCAAAACCAAAGCACCAAAGTAATGTTATAGCATACGTATATGGTATTACAATCATATATAAAGTACAGATTATATATATATATTACATGAATAAACAGTACAATTACAGGTGCTGAAGGGGATGGCGGGTGGGAATGCACAACAATCTCCTTCAATGATTCAGAAAACTATGCTGTGGGGGCTCCAAATCCCTAACAGGGCATTCCCTCAGGCAGACGCTGATTGGTCAATCAGCAGCATCCCTCTACTCTCATTAACATACATGCTAATTGGCAACTACATAAATACATACGACCTACATTACAGAAAACAGAAAACATAGGCAGCAAGGCAAACTCATTGTATATAAACTATAGTTTAATATTAAAATATCAAACTATCATTTTATATACAACTAAACACGCAAGAACAGTTTAACCTGTTTATTACTACAGTTATAATACATACAAGCTACAAGTTTGGCGTATCAGGGGCTACTCACTCTATACCAAAACGATTAAACTTACTAATAGGATATTTAAAATTTAAAGAATCTGGACTCTGAGGTGTCCCAGAGTAGCTAGCTACATGATCGAGCAAGACTCCAAAGATACAGAGAAGCAACTAGACCCTGGACGATTCCAGAGAAGCTACTAGACTCTGCGAGCGACCCTGGAGAAGCTGCATGAGAAATGGAATATTCAACGACTACGGCTAGACCCTCAACGATATGAGAGAAGCTGAATATGTTAGCTAGACCCTCAACGATATGAGAGAAGCTGAAACATACTGTCGTAAAATACTACATGTATAATATTATTATAAGATTGGGGGTAGAATTCCCCAAGAATTAAATGCCAAAATTAAACTATATGTTTTAAAATTAAGAGTGAGTAGCCCAAACAATTAAAACAAAATCAGGAGACCAACTGAGATGACATTCATATGACAGTTTAAGGGTATAGCAAAACCAAAGCACCAAAGTAATGTTATAGCATACGTATATGGTATTACAATCATATATAAAGTACAGATTATATATATATATTACATGAATAAACAGTACAATTACAGGTGCTGAAGGGGATGGCGGGTGGGAATGCACAACAATCTCCTTCAATGATTCAGAAAACTATGCTGTGGGGGCTCCAAATCCCTAACAGGGCATTCCCTCAGGCAGACGCTGATTGGTCAATCAGCAGCATCCCTCTACTCTCATTAACATACATGCTAATTGGCAACTACATAAATACATACGACCTACATTACAGAAAACAGAAAACATAGGCAGCAAGGCAAACTCATTGTATATAAACTATAGTTTAATATTAAAATATCAAACTATCATTTTATATACAACTAAACACGCAAGAACAGTTTAACCTGTTTATTACTACAGTTATAATACATACAAGCTACAAGTTTGGCGTATCAGGGGCTACTCACTCTATACCAAAACGATTAAACTTACTAATAGGATATTTAAAATTTAAAGAATCTGGACTCTGAGGTGTCCCAGAGTAGCTAGCTACATGATCGAGCAAGACTCCAAAGATACAGAGAAGCAACTAGACCCTGGACGATTCCAGAGAAGCTACTAGACTCTGCGAGCGACCCTGGAGAAGCTGCATGAGAAATGGAATATTCAACGACTACGGCTAGACCCTCAACGATATGAGAGAAGCTGAATATGTTAGCTAGACCCTCAACGATATGAGAGAAGCTGAAACATACTGTCGTAAAATACTACATGTATAATATTATTATAAGATTGGGGGTAGAATTCCCCAAGAATTAAATGCCAAAATTGAACTATATGTTTCAACATAGAGTGAGAGCCCCCAATAAGGCGGGTGTGGCCCCTCTGGGGAGATAGAGGATTTTTTTTCTCCTGCTATACAAGTGAAGGGATTTTAACCAAATGCAGTCTGAAGCATGATTAGGGACAAAAGAATCAATTTTGTATAAACTGAGGTGTGTGGGCCTCCTTCTAAGGGCAGATGGGTGGGGCCCATTAGGGGAAATAGAGGAAAACATCAAATATCCTTCTCCTTTTGTACCGATGAAGGGATTTTGACCAAATTTGGTCTGGAGCATCATTGGCCAAAGGGTTCTCAGTTTTGTATGAACGGAGGGTATGGTCCCCCTGGGGGCAGAGGGACGGGGCCAAATAGGGGAAAATAGGTAAATCTTTAAAAATCTTCTCCTCAACCAATTGAAGGATTTTGACCAAATTTGTCCTAGAGCATCTTTGGACAAAGGAGACTCAAGTTTGTATAAACGGAGGGTGTGGGCCTTCTGGCGGCATAGGGGCGGGGCCCAATAGGGGAAATAGAGGATTTTTTTTCTCCTGCTATACAAGTGAAGGGATTTTAACCAAATGCAGTCTGAAGCATGATTAGGGACAAAAGAATCAATTTTGTATAAACTGAGGTGTGTGGGCCTCCTTCTAAGGGCAGATGGGTGGGGCCCATTAGGGGAAATAGAGGAAAACATCAAATATCCTTCTCCTTTTGTACCGATGAAGGGATTTTGACCAAATTTGGTCTGGAGCATCATTGGCCAAAGGGTTCTCAGTTTTGTATGAACGGAGGGTATGGTCCCCCTGGGGGCAGAGGGACGGGGCCAAATAGGGGAAAATAGGTAAATCTTTAAAAATCTTCTCCTCAACCAATTGAAGGATTTTGACCAAATTTGTCCTAGAGCATCTTTGGACAAAGGAGACTCAAGTTTGTATAAACGGAGGGTGTGGGCCTTCTGGCGGCATAGGAGCGGGGCCCAATAGGGGAAATAGAGGATTTTTTTTCTCCTACTATACAAGTGAAGGGATTTAAACCAAATGCAGTCTGAAGCATGCTTAGGGAGAAAAGAATCAATTTTGTTTAAACTGAGGTGTGTGGATTCCCCTTCTTTGGGGCAGATTAGTGGGGCCCATTAGGGGAAATAGAGGAAAACATTAAAGATCCTTCTCCTTCTGTACCGTTGAAGGGATTTTAACCTAACCAAACTTGTTTTAGAGAATCTTTGGGCAAAGGGAATTGAATATTTATAAATGGAAGATGCAACTTTGTTACTTGTACTCCTTTGATAAACCTGAATGGTACTCAGCAGGTTTTAAATTGAAAAATAAAATACCAGGTGAGCTATTAAGGCCCCTGGGCCTCTTGTTTTCATGTTGGAAGCGTTTTGTGATATTATATTGATGTTATCAGAAAAAATATCCAAATAATCATTGATCTGGATGTGTAACAAATTTCAATCATAAAACGAAAGTTTTTCTTCCGTCGGCCTTCAAATTCATTGGCTTGCATCAGGTTTTCCTTAATTGGTTGTGTTGGATGTTTCTGACATTATTAGACTTATGATCTGTGTTGGATTGATACAGTGATTTTAAGGTCAATCCTACAGAATTCTCATCACCTTAGTAACAACATTATACTGTATAGTTGTATTGAATTATTTATCTCCAATTGAAACTACTGTTTAAGATTTGTTGCTAATTTTGCATTGCCTAAAACATCACAAACACATGCTTGTGCACTACCATTGCATCTCACTCTCATTCCTCACCAAAGTAGTCAGACGTTTACAGTATTGGGTATTCAAAGTTATTAGCACAATTGAAGAAACTTGCAACACTTTATGATGTAAAATACAGAGGAGAAATCATGGATCAGTGTATTTGGATAATTAACTGATGGTACATTCAGATTTCTCAGCTGTGTAGTAATTGTTCTTGAAATGGAATATTGAAGTTAATTGAAGTTTCCACAAACACTTTCTGAGAATCTCATTATTTTCTTCAAACTGAATATCGAGGACATGACTAGTTTTCACACTGAACATTGAACACTGGCCTTGTGGTCGCACTGAACGATGTACACAGGCCTTGTGGTCGCACTGAACGATGTACACAGGCCATGTGGTCACACTGAACGATGTACACAGGCCTTGTGGTCACACTGAACGATGTACACAGGCCTTGTGGTCGCACTGAACGATGTACACTGGCCTTGTGGTCGCACTGAACGATGTACACAGGCCTTGTGGTCACACTTAATGATGTACACAGGCCTTATGGTCGCACTGAACGATGTACACAGGCCTTGTGGTCGCACTGAACGATGTACACAGGCCTTGTGGTCACACTGAACAATGTACACAGGCCTTATGGTCGCACTGAACGATGTACACAGGCCTTGTGATTTGGTATGCAATTTTTGAGCTGATTATTTATCTGATATTTGGCTGTTCATTGCTAATTGTCTTCTGTAGACCTAATAAAGATTAAAAACTTCGTCTTTCGTTTCAACACCTGTACACTTCTGACAGAAAACACAGTCTGTTGTATACCTCTAACAGACTACACTTCGTCTTCTGTACACTTCTGACAGAAAACACAGTCTGTTGCATACCTCTGACAAACAACACTTTGTCTTCTGTACACTTCTGACAGAAAACAAAGTCTGTTGCATACCTCTGACAGACAACACTTTGTCTTCTGTACACTTATGCCAGAAAACACAGTCTGTTGTATACCTCTGACAGACTACACTTTGTCTGCTGTACACTTCTGACAGAAAACACAGTCTGTTGCATACCTCTGACAGACAAAACTTTGTCTTCTGTACACTTCTGACAGAAAACACAGTCTGTTGCATACCTCTGACAGACAACACTTTGTCTTCTGTACACTTCTGACAGAAAACACAGTCTGTTGTATACCTCTGACAGACTACACTTTGTCTTCTGTACACTTCTGACAGAAAACACAGTCTGTTGTATACCTCTGACAGACTACACTTTGTCTTCTGTACACTTCTGACAGAAAACACAGTCTGTTGTATACCTCTGACAGACTAC